GATATCATGCTGATCCGTGATCACATCAACCTGCCTGGTTTCTCTGGTCAGAACCCTCTCAGAGGCCCCAATGATGAAAGGTGCGGATCTTGTTCCTTTGTTTATAGATGGGTAGGTTGTAAGGATTTGCCTGGGAGTTAGCAGAAAGCTCATTGTATTCCATTAATCTGAGATAATCCAACCCGTGCCCCTAGGTTTGGAGTTCGTTTCCCTGCCATGTCTGATGCCTATGACCGGGATATGAGGGAGAAGGCTCATGTTGTCTGGAAACAAATGGGGGAGCAGAGAGAGCTGCAGGAAGGCACCTATGTGACGCTGGCAGGCCCCAACTTTGAGACTGTGGCAGAGTGTCACCTGCTGCTGAAGCTGGGGGCGGATGCTGTTGGTGAGAAGGGGAATGTGGCTGGAGGCTTGAAGAGGGAGGGATCTGGTAAAATAGGGATGGGCAGAAGTAAGAGACTGTAGAGCTGATGGTGGATTGAGAGAGGATCTGACTTGAAGGGAGAGTGAATTAAATTGACTTGTAGAAAGATACTAAGGTAGTGAGGTTTGGTGTGTTGTCCCATCAGACCTCCCCACCCAGCATCAAGGGCTTTAACAGCTGTAATGCTAATGACCTACTCTTGATTTGATAATTGTTTCTAAGGATTATTCTAATGAATATTATTATAGCCACTTCCATACCTTGGCTGGAAGATGGAACTGCATCATTAGAACTGGCTTCACAATTGCCGCAGACAGATATGGAAATAAAGTATTGCACTGGTAATATTTGTAAGAAAAGTGTAAGGCCCTCTGAGGCCCCACTCCTTCAAGCAATACTGAACAACCTAAGCTCAACTCTAATTTAGCTGCTTCCTTGGATGTTTTGTGAGATGTCAAATTGTCAGTGAGGTGATGCATAGAGGTTAGGCCAAAGGGTGAGGACAAGAGTCTCTTGAGGATCCCGACGGTTGGTGTCTCTCTTTCTCCCCATCAGGCATGAGCACAGTTCCAGAAGTGCTAGTTGCAAGGCACTGTGGACTTCGAGTCTTTGGCTTCTCCCTCATCACCAACAAGGTCATTACGGATTATGAAACCCATGAGAAGGCCAGTCACGAGGAAGTACTAGAGACCGGGAGACAAGCGGCACAGAAACTGGAACGGTTCGTCTCCATTCTTATGGCCAGCGTTCCACCGCCTCGCAAGGCCAGTTAACCAGCCCTGGAGTGGTTTGTCCTCTCCCTTATGGCATCCAAGTAGCTGCTACCTGCCTTGTCCCTTTGCTGTGTCCTGTGCCTCTGCCCTTAGGCAGTAGCAGACCAGAAAGAAAGACCCCTATCGTTCACTTTCCCCGCTTCTCCCAGCAGACCTTCTGGTGCTGGGTCCTCTTTTGCTCCACGATCTTCTCAGAACAGTTCTTCCCCAAGAGCTGGAGCCCAAGCCCTCCCACACATCCATGGATATGCCCAGGATGTGACTTGCACCCTTGAACTTGGCACAGTAACTGCTCTAGCTTTTTGAGATGATGCTCTCACATTCCTGGGGGCTCGGTTCTGAGTCCCCTAAAGCACAGGAGACCATGTGAGGACCAGCCCAATGCCTCTTGGACTTTAATACTATCATACTTTGAGAATAAAGAGAAAGATGAAATAATGTCTTCATTTTTGTGTCATTTGGGATAATGCTGGGACACAGGCAAAGACCAGTCTGAAGGGCCGTGGGACCACATGTCTTGTGTGACTATCTGTGTCTCAGACAAGTAGCTAAGAACTGAGATGAGGTTCTTAGGTAGGTAAGGCAAAGTGATGAAAGATAAAGATGTTAGAAGATGATAAGGAAGGAATGGCTAGCTTCTGGCACGTCGTGGCCACTTCCCTCAGACCAGTCTGCTTCTGTCACTTGCCTTCCGATTGTTTCACCCCCTGTCTGCTCTCTCATGAATCTTGAAACTCGGTTCACGGATCTTGAAACTGAGGTTGAAGGAGTTAAAGTTTTTCTGGATTAGGATGAAACTGTGCCTGTACTCACAAGGTTAACATAGGAAACAGTAATTAAAGTTTCTGAGCTTGCCTTGCAGAACAGCAGGAGGACCACTGATAAGACAGTAGCTTGCTGACAGCTCTCCACCTGACTATGCATCATGCAGGACTATTGAGAAGCTAAAATGACCTATTGTAAGCTTGACATGTCATAGACTAAAGATCCACTGCATGCAACACATAGAACCCCCCCAAATTTGCACAGGTGACCCATGAAGAAGTGTGAAATACAGTTGCCACTCTGCAGATGACATGCTGCCCCTTCCCATTTTATTCTCACAATATGCTTTGGAAAAATGCTTAGAACTATACCTAGGCAAGCTAATCTGTAACTGGTAGAAAGAATAACTTGTTAGCAAAAAATTTATGTTCTCTGCCCAAAGTGTTCCTTCTGTCCCAGATGATGAAGGAACTGAGGTTTTCTTAGATTCCTCAGGAATGTCACATTCAGCACATCCGCTACAGAGAGGCGCCCAACCATCTAGGGTCATCTGTCACCTGACATTTCCGAGTCCCCCTCTAACCCTGTTTGCTTATATAAGTCATTTCCAAATCAGTTCCCTTTAAGATGTTCTTTTTTTAGGATGATTGTCCACCATCTTCTGATTTGCAGGCTTATGGCTTATTAAAGTTCTTTCTCTACCACCACCTGCTTGGCCTTTTATCTTGCAGTGAGCAGATTGAGCCCTGGCTCGATTTCAATCTCAGCTTCTGTTCATAGCTGCCACTTCTTTGTTAAGCCCTAATTATGTTTCCTCTTGATTTCCTTCTCTCCACTACTCTACCTGCCACCAGCCATGGACTTGCTTCTCTTGTCTTGCCTAAACTTTAAACTTTTTTTGTGTTTGGCCTAATTCTCTTGTTTAAAGGTACAGATATTCCTTTCTCTAATGACTTTGGGGTCTTGAGCTTATGTGGTTTCAGCTATGTTCCAGGAAGAAGCTCTAAGTGACATTCGCCCTGGACTCATCCGTTCTGAACTGGGCCAGACTGGTCCAGACTGCAACCAGAAGAATGATACCTGCGCAGACAGGGAGGGAGTTGTACTTAAGTAACCTGCCCTCATTAACCTCCTAAATTCTCTTCTGGGAGGGGAGAAGCAGCAGTTTTTAGATCATGCAATGTATGTAAAGGCATGATTTCAAACCACACAAGTGCAAACTTATGCCAACTTCTACATGTGATGATGAAACTTCCCCTTTGAATATTCATTCCCTACCCCAAGTAAGGGTACCCACCTCCCCGTGCTAGAGGAGCTGTAGCTTTGTGAAATTATTCCCTATAGTCTCTATTTTCTTTGCTGCATGCTGCAAATAAAATTCCTGCTTTGTGTGACAACTACTTCTGGTATAGTTTGATTAACTTGCCAAGAAGGGGACTCACGTTTGGTCCAGTAACAAATTAGCAACCTAGATGGAACCTCTGTCCCTCTGAGGCTCTGTTCTTCCCACCATCTGGTTTACGCTACCAGAGGTTGAGGGATAAGCCTCACGGGGAGGGACTTTCTTCTTGGTGTTGGTGCTGCTGGTCTGACATCGCCTCCCCGTTGGGGGACCCAGTGGCCACAATGAGCATTTTGCTCAGAGGGTCTCTTGATGGAGGTAAGGGGCACCAACCCCATGGCACAACTATAAGAGTTATTTCTTTAAGTCGTCTCACTAAGTCAGGCTACCTGAACCTAGGGTTTAATGCTGCCCTAGCCTTGGGTTCGAGTCCCAAGGTTTGCTTGTTAGAGCCTGGCTTCAGGGTTCAGATCCCTTTCTGGAGGTACCCTGGCTCAGGAGAGTGAGAGTCCCCATTTGGTTGGAAGGATTGCATGACCCAGCCACTCTGGAAGAGCCGATGCTGGACTCTGGCAAATAGGAGCAATCTCTGTTGACTAGTCATTGGGCAGTGAGGGCTCAAGGCCCGTTTGAGTTTGTCACTGCTGGGACTTGATGCCCATCTGAGGGCCCTTTTGTGTCTGTGTTGTGAAAGTGACAAGAGGTGGGTTTGAGCACCACCACCCCCAGGAGCCACTGAGTGTATGTTTGTGTAGTGTCTGTGACAGAAAGAGCTGATCTCCTGTGGTTGGGGTTAATTCTCTCTGAAGTTACAGAGTCTGTCTCTGAGTCTTGTCTTGCAATTATGGTAAAAGGCAGGGTTAGATCCCTGCAAGCTGAGTTTTGAGTGTTTGTGGTTTGTGGGGGTGCTGGTCAGGGATGCCCAAGAGAAGATTGGCCTTAAAGTGACAGAAACTTTATCATGGTCTCTTCCTCCATTTCCTTAACAAACTGCTTCTAGACCTCTCAGATCTCTCTCTGTTCCTCAGTTTCTTTGCCAGCAGTCATTGGGGAAAACTCAACGTCCCCTGTTCTTCTTTCCCTCACACTTTCTGCTCGAGGATTTCCATTGACCTCTCCCCTTCCGGATTTCCTCCTAAAATCTTCCTGGTGTCATTTAGTCTCCCTAATCATCCACATTCAAGAGGTTGCTTTTGCTTTTGCTGGTGAAAGAAGCTAGACTTGGCACTTGAAAAGATGTCTTTGGTAAGTAACAGAATTCGCGCACAGCAGTGCCAAGGTACTTGCCCTTCAAGCACTGATCTGATTTTTCTTTTACTGGATATTGGATCTGTCAGTTTTTTGTTTTTGTCTTTGCACTAACCTTTTCCATAGGACTGGCCAGGAATGATGGATTTTATGTAAAATGATTACATCTCTTTTACCTAATTATATTTTAAATATATTGTGGGCATTATGAAAGCATATAAATCCACCCTTCAGACAATGTTAATTAAACATACTAAAAGAGATTTCACTTTAAAATGGCCAAAATGGGCCAGTTTGGGCCAAATGGGCCATTTCAGTTTACCCAAACTGGTCTATTTACATATGTAATTGGAAAAAAAGCTGGCTATAAGAAAAATTAAACAACCATTAGGAAGCCTATTTTAATTTTTGAGACTTCCAAACAAGATCAGAAATCCCAAACTGTCTCTTTAAGAAAAAAATATTTAAATAAACAAACATGCTAGAGAAAAGAAACCAAATCTGCTGCTCCTCACTCCTCTCCTGCTGAACTCCCCTACTTCAACTTCCTCAAAATTCCAGATCTAAAATTAAGCAAGTCAAAATGAGTAAACTTTCAAACTATTTTAAAATTGTAATGGCCGTTTTGGGGAACCTGTGTTTCAGATACTTTCACCCTAAGGGTCACCTTCGGGGAAAAAAAGAGGATTCAAAACCTCTCACAATGGAATGCATTCTTTGATTAATATACGGAAGTTTCTAAAAGATAAAATGACTTTAAAAACAGCTATAAAAATGATCCTTACAGCAAAAAGAAGAAAAAAAACTTTAATAAAAATCTTTAGCCATCTAAACAGTCCCTAATTTGGATCCAGATTCTTTGCGTTTTGTGCCTAATACATGGCTAAAATTTTAAAGATCCCTGTTCATGTTTGTCTACATGTCTTTTTTTTTTTAATTTTTTTTAATTCTTTTTCTTTTTCTGTTTTTTTTGTGTGTGTGTGAGGAAGATTAGCCCTGAGCTAACATCCGATGCCAATCCTCCTCTTTTTTTTTTTGCTGAGGAAGATTGGCCCTGGGCTAACATCCGTGCCCATCTTCCTCTACTATATATAGGACGGCGCCACAGCATGGCTTGATAAGTGGTGCATCGGTGTGCGCCCAGGATCCGAACCTGCGAACCCCAGGCTGCTGAAGCAGAGCACGTGCACTTAACCGCTGTGCCACCAGGCTGGACCCTGTCTACATGTCTATGTGTGTGTGTCCGGATGATATAAATTTTAAAGAAAGCTCTATTTAATTGACTTAAAATAAGCACTTATCTAAATTATTTCTAAATGTAATAAAAACTAGCCCAAATGTCTTTCAAGTTAACATGATGTAAAATGATCTTTGGTAAATAAAACTTGTTTAAGTTTGCTGGGTTAATTAAAATAGACATGTCCTCAGAGTTATCAACATTGGATATGATGTAAACGTACAGCCTTAATAAGTCAAATAAACTTATATTATCTCCATTACAAAATTTGTCGGCAAAAATAATAACTTAATAGCTGATTTTGTCTGATGTCTCATATAGTTTTCATAGACAATCTAAATAATTGTTGGAAACAGGTAAACTAATAGATATAAAAAAGATAAATTAAAAAAGGTAAAAGTTTTGGGAGAAGTTTTTAACAATAATTATGTATTCTGATGTATATACTTAAAACAACTTAAAGTGATGGCTAACTGCTTTAGTGTCACTTGAAAATAGTATCAAATGGTCGTGTCCTGTATGATTCCATTTATATAACATTTATGTAACACAGAAAACATAGTAGTGGTTGCCAAGGGTTAGGATGGTGCAGATAGGGATACAAGTATGACTAAAAAGAGGTACCACAAGGGAGATATTTGTGGTGATGAAATAGTTCAGTATCTTGATTGCAGTGGTGGTTACATGAACCCACACAAGAAATAAAATGACATAGAACTACATACACACACACAAACACACACACACACTATGCTAATATCAATTTTCTGGTTTTGATATTATGCCGTAGTTAAGTAAGATGTAACCACTATGAGAAACTGGGTGA